GAAGAGCTGTCCGAGTCGAGTCCGTTCCGCTGGCGAGCGCTGTTCGCCGCCATCCGCCAGGAACTGGAGGCCGACCCCATGGACGTCGTATTCCTGTTCGAACGGCTGCTTCAACTGAACGCTACGATGCCCTCTGGTCCCAGCCAAGCGCTATTCAACTCGCCGCTCTTTTTCCACGCAAGACGCTTTTTTTTTTAATGCATCGATAAGATGGAGAGAGCTGATAGTTTTCTGTGATCCCACAGTTATTGGTTGAAAGATTCGCAGTTGCTTTTGAAGGCCTGGACGCAGAGTTATTCAAGTTGGAGAGTGACGAGCTGTGCCATGCCGAGGGCATCTACGAGACGTGTGTGCTGATCCAAGACAAGATCGAAGAGTAAGAGAACCGGACTGGTGAGTAGGGATTGATTGTACTGACGGTGTATGGTACAGGAGTGATACGGAGTCGGGGCTGAAGAAATTCCTGGCGACGTTTAAGAGGATCTTTGAGCAGGATGAACCAAAGGTTCGTGATTCGAAACGATGAGTTTTGTTTTATTACGTTATCTAACTGATTTTTTTTTATTGTAGGATTGCTGGGAGGCTTTTCGTGAGCTGTACCACTTGAACGACGCTTCTTTCCGACGTGATATGACGCGTGCATTGTGCATGATTGAGTCCGTCACGCTGGGCCCCACGAAGCTCGAGCTCGCCTTCCCAACCAAGGCGCCGGAGGGCCCAAAGTAAGTGGTTGTAGAAAGTGTTTGCTGTGTGATATGCATTTGCTAACATGGGTTACTTGTACAGAATAATCGTGCCACGTGCGCTGCTGGAGAAGCGATTCGGAGGAACTCGACGGGAATGGCGAGATCTCTCGCAGTTTAACTCCCTCCCGGGAGCAGACATCGGCCAGATAGCAAACAATGAGTCTCAGCAACAGCAGCAGGGCCATGAACAAACCCAGGAGCAAGAACAAGAGCAACACATTCCAGACCCCAGTAACTCTGGTAATGATGCCGCCGCAGCGCTACCTCTCCCTTCTGAAGCTCAGGACTGGGTTTGGTCAACGCGCGTTCCATTCTCTTGTAACTTTGCAATTGAGTTATCTAAGCTAAGCTCTCAGAAACTAACTTATTATTTCATTACTTGACCTAGTGAATGGAGAATCGACGGAGTCTGTGCACTCCGACATTTCAGAAGAAGAGCCCGAAGAGCGCCCAGCATCGTCAAGACCCCCTCGAACAGCAGAAGTTGCCAGAGCTGCTCGTCAAGAAGGTCGCCGCGCAGTTCCTCGTAGAAGGGTAACAACCTCGTTGCTGTGCTGTACCTGGACATGTTCACTTACATTTTCTTCCCTTGTAGATGACAAGAGAAGAAAGCGTTGCCATCGTTAATCCTGTTCCAAATGAACGTCAAGGTGGCAGACGCAAAAGAGTGCGTTGGTCGGAAGAAGAGGAAGCAGCGCTCATCATGGGCTACCGACTGTACGAGTCGTACTCGAATGTGTGGGTTCTGATCAAGTCCAAGTTCCCTGAGGTGCTCCGGCATCGATCCAACGTTGACTTGAAGGACAAATACCGCAACTTGGTCAGATACGGCAAGATCCCGCAAGCCAACGACACTGGAGCTACAGACAACGACGCGACCGACGATAACGCTGGCCCTGAAGACCACAACTAACGTCTTGATGTTGAAATTTGAGTTTCATTTGTTTACAAACTAAAAACAATCAGACGGAGAAGTCTGAAAATCCAAACAAACGCACTCGACTTCGTTTCTCCGCTTCCACTCACCAATTTTACCCCATCGTTTTCGTTTCTTATGTGCATTTGACTCGTTCCTTCCGAGTTTTTATCACAACGAGGTTGCTGGCTTTGTGTCGCGTAGTCCCCTACATGCAACGTCCTCTCCATTCTTCACTTCTCCACGGTAGCTTGATGACTCCCTCCTTCCAGTAGCCAACGTCCCAACCCACTCGTTTATTTTGACGACACGAGTAGAGAAGCGAAGACGGAGCTGGGATCACTTAACACGGATGCCCTTTAGCTTCGGCCCACAGAGCCACTCATGGACAGATCGTTTGGCGTATTGTACGTGAAACCCTGGAACGTCATGGACGGACGAGACGCGTCTGACACGCGCACGCCTCCCAGAGCCGAGTTCTCGACGCTGTTGATCTGCATCTTGGTGAATTCGGCCTCGAAGTTCTTGGTCTCCTCAGCGTTGCCAGCAGCGGCACACGGGTTGAACGGAGGCGGGATCTTGCGGTCGTACAGGTCCTGCCAGTTCATGCCGCTAAAGTACGGGTGGTTCTTCACCTCGTCTGCGCTCTTGCTACCTAGGCGCTTAATGGGGTCGCGTCGGAGCAATCCACTGATAAAGTCGCGAGCCACGGGGTCCACGTCGTCCGGGAACGTCAACGGAGCGTTGCGCACTCGGTCGAACAGTTTCTGGCGGTTGCGAGTGTACCAAGGCGGCAAGCCAGTCAGCATTTCGTACAGCACCATGCCCATAGCCCACCAGTCGACAGCTGTGCCGTGTCCAACGCGGTCCAGAATCTCAGGAGGCAAGTACTCGGGCGTTCCACACATCGAGTTGGTACCCTCAGCTCCATCGGTGATACCCTCCTTAGCAAGACCGAAGTCAGCTGTAATAACAATAAAAGGACGTTAAAATACGCTTAAAATACGCAGTAATCAATCCGACGTAACTTACCCAACAGAACGTGGCCAACGGAGTCGAACAGGATATTCTCGGGCTTCAGGTCGCTGGAATAACAAATATTTACGTTAGTATTGCGAATATTGTGACGAAAAGATCCTCAAACGTACCGATAGACAACACCGAGGTCGTGCAAGTGCTCCAATGCCAGTGTGATCTCAGCACAGTAGTATCTGGCCATACTGGGCTCGAACTTCTCCATACGCGAGAGGTGGAAGAACAGTTCACCACCAGGGCAGTAGTCCAACACGAAGTAGAGTTTCTGCGACGTCTGGAAGGCGTAGTGCAAGTGCACAATGAACGGATGCTTCGCACGACCCAACACACGTCGCTCTGTACGCGTGTGCTCCACCTGATTGCGTCGCTTGACGTTGGACTTGTTGAGTGACTTCATGGCGAACAAACGCTTGCCCTCCTTCTTACGCACGAGCGTCACCTTGCCGTAAGAGCCCTTACCAATGACCTTAAGCAGCTCAAAGTCGTCCAGTGACGTCTTGGGCGTGTTGTACATGCTCGTTTCGTCCTCTGAAGACTGCGACGTGGGCGGCGTGGCATCGTACGAGATGGCCTTGGCTCCCTGATACTTCTCTACAGGCTCCTTCTGCTCATTTTGCCACAAACAAGATTATAATTCCATAAAAAGTCATCACTGACGCCATAAATAAATGAAAAGTGGCAAATCGTACGTTTGTGAGCATAAACTCCTTGAAGAGCTCCGATG